AACCGCTCATTGCAATCTCTTATGCTGTATTCAATTGTTTTTTTTCGCACAGCTGACAACATGATTAGTTGTTTTTTTTTGTAGAAAAAGAGCCTTAAGCTATTCACTAGAAAGTAAGTACAGTAAGTAGTGTAGAAGGTGAATGAACCAAACTAATGGAACATAGAATTGTTTGTTTTGTCTTGTCGCAACACAAAACATCACTTAAAGTGACAACACACACACACACTCACCGATGTGAGTGTGTTTGCTGGGGAACACAAATGAAAAGCATAATTAACCTCATCATTATCATCATCTGATGATGATGATGACGATAACAATTTTATTGCTGATTTTTACGTTCCCATTTTATATTATATTTCCCAATGAACATGGAATGGAATGGCACAAAGAACAAAACAGAACAAACAAACAAACAAACCCTGTTAACCTTGATATAAATAAAGCGATCGACGGTACACACACAATTCCATAATCATAAAACCAATAATTAAAATTTTCAAAAAAATGGAAAAAAAAATTTAAAAAATAGAAGAAGAAGAAGTAGAAGAAGAAGAAATTAAAGCAACGGAAGAAGAAGGAGAAGGGCATATGAGAAGTTGCAGAAATAAAGGAATAACTAAATAACTAATCTAATGCCGATGACGGACGATCTATTGCTAATAACGATAACGGTAATAATAATAATAATAATGATAATAATTTTTTGTTGTTGCAAAAAAAACACATAAACTCCAATATGAAATAACATTCTGATAGAAAGAAAAAAATATATATATACGATTCTCTGATAATTAAAATGCATATATATATATATATATATATATATATATATATATATATATATATATATGTATAGGAAAATAATAACACAGATGAGTGTTAATTTATCAAAATAAAAAAGCATCCCACAGAGTTAAAGGGAAAAAATAAAGAAAAAAGGAAAAAGCCTACTCAGAATTTGTATTTTTTCATTCCTACCTTAATTGAACATCAGTGAAATAGTGAATAAATAAAAAAATCATTTGATGCTGATCATAACTGGAATCATTATTCCATCACTAATGGATAACAATTATTATCAATAAATAAAAGATATCTATACATATATATATGTATGTATTCTTTTGTTGTACTTCCTAATCACTAAATATCATTCTTATATATTACTGTTGTAAGCTATTCTAGCATGCGCTGATTAGACATGAATACAAATAATCAGAGATAAAGAAAGTAAGGGGTTGTGACGAGTGTTAAAGTTACACATATTATTAAAATCGCAGAATCGATCAATGTTAGACCACCATTTGGAAACCTGGAAGCACTTCGTGGCTGTTTCGTCATGGTATGGGATTCATTAGCAATGCATATCCACGACTCCTGCACCTTGCAGGAATCAAACCTAGGACATTTGGTCGTCCAGTGTTTCCAGGTTTCTAATGGTGGTCTAACACTGATCCATTCATGAGTTCAAATAATGTAATCAAAGATATTTCTTCAGCACAAAAGACTAAATGCACATAACAGTGGATTAGTTTAAAACTGTTAGTCTTCTAGAAGGTCATTCACAATCGAAAGAGCTTGGTTATGAGATTTTCAAATATGACACCATGTGAGGCGTGTTCAAACCTCATGATTAGAATCAGTCCTTCGGATTTTTCAAAAACGTTGTGAGGATGAGTGAACTCTGGGATGTTGGATTTAGTCACATATCATACACTAATTATAATATGCTTTTCAGCAACACAACGTTTGTCAGTCAAATGGTTAATAGTCGGAGTTGTGACTAGTACACAATTATTCGTTAAACCTCATACGGCAATGGCGCATGAATAATAATAAGAAGAAAAATCTTTATTTTCTGACGAATGAAATAAAAGATGGTGTGAA